ACACGTGTCCTTGAGACATTTCCTACAGGGAATGAGACTCAAGTTTTCCTACCAGATGAAAGTGCTGACCAAACGTGGACTACAAAACACCGGACTGATTGGAGCCAGAAGGAGACAGACACTGTCCCAGAGCTCTTCCTCTGTCTTCTGAGACAAACATCCAAAGGCTACTCACCCACCCCCAACCCACAAGATTTTTCCTTAAAAGTCCTTGCTTGGGTTTTTTCCACAGCTTTAGCTGCCCCTGCTCCAGTTGCTTGACCTTGTAATTAAACGCCTGATTTCCCTCACTGCTACCCAGTATCAGTGTCTTTTCCTAGCTGCACTCAGGTGAGAGGACCCAAGTTTGGTTTGGTAACAATATTAATAATACCTGGTTAATAACCTCCAGTTCATTTATTANGCAACCCTCAGTGTCATGCCCGTACCGGACTGGGACCGGCAACGGGATCACAACCCTCGGTCCCTGCACCCGCACCTCGCTCAGCCAGTGAGCGGGAACCAGTCTGTATGTGGGATCCGAACCCTTGGCAGGAGCGCTGCCGCACTCCCAAGCGGCGCACCGTAGCAGTGTGCCACCGGGCCGGCCCATAACCTCCAGTTTAATTATTGAGCTAAACACATCAACAAATAATATTAGACCAAGGTTCTCAATGGGAGTTACTAATAAGTTGAAGAGATGCACAGAATTTTCCTATATTCTGATGAAACAATTGTGGGCACAGTCTTGCTATTCAGCCAAGTGTGCCTGTCCTATTATGCACTAGACACTAATTTTAAACTCACCCAGAACTTGAGTTAATTGTCAAATTAACTCTTTTTTATATTAATGGGTCTAGATTATTATGTGTGGTTATTTTATCAGAAGGTGGAGAGAGGCAAGTTGAAGTGACGAAACAGTGAGGGAGGCCACAGCCTAATGACATGAGAAACTCAGCTGTGAATGGATCCAGGCCTGATTAATTTGGCAGTTCATGTGCAAATGTATTTTTTCCTGAATTTTTCACAATTATACACCCAAAATGTCAGCTTCATCCCTGTGCTGACTTCCATCATGTAGAGACATGGTGACAGAATCTGCAAGGGTCACAAGGAGATAT